ACTACTACTACAAGTGTACAACTACTAGTAACTACTAGTACTACTACTACAGTACTACACTCGTCTGTCCACATTTGTAATAAAACACGTATAAGACCTTAAGAAAAAAGTTTTCTGTAGTACTGTAGTAGTTGCTGAGTCGCTGAGTAGTTTGAGTCTGGAGTTGTGTTCGGTGACGAGCGACATTTTAATTAAAGAACCAAGAAGAAAAATGAGTTTTTTGACTTTTACTTTCACTTTCACTTTCACTTTCACCTCAAACACTCGGAGCTGTATCTGGAGTCTGGAGCTGGACCAGCAGGAGAAAAGCTCCGATGCTGGACTTACTTATAAATTCACTGCGTAACTTTCCGTTTGCGGGTCCCGTCGCCTGCTCGTTTCCACGGAGACGCCGCCGCCCCGTCTGGAATGTCCCGCAGTGTGACTTTAAACAGCTCCACTTTACATTTATTCAATCACATCCCAGAGAAGAAAAGCGTCGGGAAAAAGTTCCACGGTGCAGCTTTAACCGTGGATTTTTGGATGTTCGGAGGTGAAACGGGGCCGGGGGGAACGGAGAGACCGAGAGGATCAGACGGAGGAGAAGAGAGGAGAGGAGAGGAGGACAAAAAAGAACGACGCAAAATGAAATAAAGGAGAAGAGGCGGACGAGCGAAGCGTGAGAGAGAAAACTGAAAAATGCAAAAGGCAGATGTGCTCAGGCAGAACGGAGAGAAGGAAGGAGGGAAGGAAGGAGAGAGGGAGGGAGAGAAGGTGACAGAGGAGGGAGGGAAGGAGAGAAGGAGGGAGGGAGAAGTGTGACGTGAGGGAGAGGAGAAAGGAGAGAGGGAGAAAAGGAGAGAAGGAGAGAGAGGAAGTGTAGCCCAAGGGAGGGAGGAACGACGAGAAGGTAAAAGGGGGAGAGAGGGAAGGAGAGAGAGGAGGGAGAGAAGGAGGGAGAGAGGAAGTGCGAAGGGTAGAGGGAAGGAAAAGGGAGGGAGAGAGGGAGAAGTGTAGCCCAAGAGAGAGAGAGAGAGAGGTAGAGAGGGAAGAGAGGGAGGGAGAAACAGAGGGAGTTAGAGAAGGAGAGAGAGGGAGGGAGGAATGGAGAGAGAGAAGGTAAAAGGGGGAGAGAGGGAAGGAGAGAAGGAGAGAGGGAGGGAAAGAGGGAAGGGGGGGAGGGAGAAAAGGAGAGAAGGAGAGAGAGGAAGTGGAGTCCAAGGGAGGGAGGAACAGAGAGATGGAGGGATGGGGAGAAGGTAAAAGGGGGGAGAGAGGGAAGAAGAGAGGGAAAGGGAAGGAGGAAGGGAGAGAAGGAGAAGTGTGGCCCGAGGCAGAGAGGGAAGGAGAGAGGGAGAAAAGGAGGGAAGGAGAAAGAGGAAGTGTAGCCGGAGGGAGAGAGAGGGGGAAAAAGGAGGGAGGAGGGAGGGAAAAAAAAGGGAGGGAGGGGAGGGATAGGGGAAACAAAGAAGGGAAGGAGACAAGGAGGGATGGAGCAAGAGAAAAAGGGGAGAGAGGAAAGAAGAAAGAGAGAGAAGGAGAGAAAAGAGGAAGGAAGGGGAGAGGGAGGAGGAGAGACGAGGGTAAAGGAGGTGAACGAGGGATGAATGGAGAAAGAGACAGAGAGAGAGAAGGAGATTGAAGGAGAGAGACGGAAGAGTGAGAAAAGGCGAGAGAAAGAAAGAAAGAGTAAAAAGGATCAGGAGAGAGGGAGAGAGGGAGGAGGAGAGAGAGAAAAGGAGGGATTGATGGAGAGAGGAGGGAGAAAAGGAGGTGTGAAAAAGAGGAGGGAAGAAAGAGAGAGAGGAGGAGGGTGAGGAGAAGTAGAGGAGCGACAGAAGCGGCGGAGTGGAAAGAGAGAAAAGAGGATAAATAATGAGAAAGTCTGAAAGTGGAGCAGAAAATCAGAGAAAAAAAACACAGAGTCAGAACGAAAAACCAGAACGAAAAGTTTTATTTTGATTTCACTCTTTTTTTTTAGACCTGGTTTAGTCCTGGTTTAGTCCTGGTTTAGTTTTAGACCTGGTTTAGTCCTGGTTTAGTTTAGACCTGGTTTAGTCCTGGTTTAGTCCTGGTTTAGACCTGGTTTAGTCCTGGTTTAGTCCTGTTTAGTTTTAGACCTGGTTTAGACCTGGTTTAGTCCTGGTTTAGTCCTGGTTTAGTCCTGGTTTAGACCTGGTTTAGACCTGGTTTAGTCCTGGTTTAGACCTGGTTTAGTCCTGGTTTAGTTTAGTCTGGTTTAGTCCTGGTTTAGTTTAGTTCTGGTTTAGTCCTGGTTTAGTTTAGTCCTGGTTTAGTCCTGGTTTAGACCTGGTTTAGTCCTGGTTTAGACCTGGTTTAGTCCTGGTTTAGTTTAGTCCTGGTTTAGTTTAGACCTGGTTTAGTCCTGGTTTAGTCCTGGTTTAGTTTAGACCTGGTTTAGTTCTGGTTTCGTCCTGGTTTAGTTTAGACCTGGTTTAGTTTAGTCCTGGTTTAGTCCTGGTTTAGTCCTGGTTTAGTCCTGGTTTAGTTTAGTCCTGGTTTAGTCCTGGTTTAGTCCACGTTTGCATGTTTTAAAAGTTCTATTTTACACAATTTTGTCATGTTCATTGTAATATTTTATTTTATTTTATTTATTTTTTGACTTCTTGACTTTTGGAGTATTTGGACTTTTGGAGTATTTGGACTTTTGGAGTATTTGGACTTTTGGAGTATTTGTACTTTTGGAGTATTTGGACTTTTGGAGTATTTGGACTTTTGGAGTATTTGGACTTTTGGAGTATTTGGACTTTTGGAGTATTTGTACTTTTGGAGTATTTGTAGATGTCGACAAACGTGTGAATGAATGAATCAAAAGTGGAGTTGTGTTTGTGTTTTTGAGGATTAAACTCCAGGTCAGGTGGAGTCTGGTCGTCTGCTCCTTTAAATGTGACCAAACCCTGAACTGGTCTTTCTCCACAATTACATCAGACGCAGTTTTTTTTTTTTTTTCCTCGTCTCTGTGTGAAACGTCCAAACCTGCAGCCACATCTGGACTTCAGCCACGAACAAACAGAAAGATCAGTGAAGGACGAAGACGAGAACTGAAAATCTGAGACTAATCGGTACAAAAAACAATATCGAAACTATGATCCTCGTTTTCACTGGTGTCGATACTAAAACTGAAAAAGTCCCACTGACAGAAAAGAACCTGAATGAGACACAGAGACTAGAACACACACATGGACCTGCTTTAGTCCTGGTTTAGTCCTGGTTTAGTCCTGGTTTAGTCTTTAGTCCTGGTTTAGTCCTGCTTTAGTCCTGCTTTAGTCCTGGTTTAGTCCTGCTTTAGTCCTGCTTTAGTCCTGGTTTAGTCCTGCTTTAGTCCTGGTTTAGTCCTGCTTTAGTCCTGGTTTAGTCCTGCTTTAGTCCTGGTTTAGTCCTGGTTTAGTCCTGGTTTAGTCCTGGTTTAGTCCTGGTTTAGTCCTGGTTTAGTCCTGGTTTAGTCCTGCTTTTAGTCCTGCTTTAGTCCTGGTTTAGTTCCTGGTTTAGTCTGCTTTAGTTAGTCCTGTTTAGTCTGGTTTAGTCCTGGTTTAGTCCTGGTTTAGTCCTGGTTTAGTCCTTGGTTTAGTTCTTTAGTCCTGTTAGTCCTGGTTTAGTCCTGGTTTAGTCCTGGTTTAGTCCTGCTTTAGTCCTGGTTTAGTCCTGCTTTAGTCCTGGTTTTAGTTTCTGCTTTAGTCCTGCTTAGTCCTGTTTATTCCTGGTTTAGTCCTGGTCCTGGTTTAGTTCTGGATTAGTCTGCTTTTAGTCCTGCTTAGTTCCTTTTAGTCCTGTTTAGTCCTGGGTTTAGTCCTGCTTTAGTCCTGGTTTAGTTTCTGCTTTAGTCCTGCTTTAGTCTGCTTTCCAGTCCTGGTTTAGTCCTGCTTTAGTCCTGGTTTAGTTCCTGGTTTAGTCCTGGTTTAGTCCTGGTTTTAGTCCTGCTTTAGTCCTGGTCCTGGTTTAGTCCTGGTGTAGTCCTCATTTAGTCCTGGTTTAGTCCTGGTGTAGTCCTCATTTAGTCCTGGTTTAGTCCTGGTTTAGTCCCCCCCCCCTTCCCCTTTTTTTTTTTTTTAATTCCATTTTTGTAAAAAGACTTTCATCAGATCATTTTTCTTGCTTTGGACCAAAATGTTCCAAAGTGCCTCATGTCCCCACCAACGGACAGGTCACCCAGTGATGATGTCACCCAGTGATGATGTCACCCAGTGATGATGTCACCCAGTGATGATGATGTCACCCAGTGATGATGTCACCCAGTGAGATCAGCCTGTTCTACAACAAGAAAACAACTGTTCACTGTTGTTTACATAAAACAGTTGGATCATGTCACAAAAACACCTCAGGTCTGAGTTCACGTCCATGAGGCGTCGCAGTTTTCAGTCGGTGAATCCACCAGTGTCTCTGTGACAGGAGCATTTACACCGTCTCACCTGTAGGGGGCAGTTGTACCTGGTCAATGTCAATAAATCTTCAAGACCAATTTATAATCGTGCGTCAAATCGTCAAGGAACGTTCACCTCAGAAATGTTCTACACACTGAAATGACGTAGACAGTCTGGGCTGTGATTGGTCGTCTCTACATTTACATTTACGTTTAATAATAATAATAATAATAATAATAATAATAATAATATAATAATAATAATAATACGTTTAATGTTTTAAAGTTGTTCTGTGGGTTTTAAATACAGAGAATATAATTCACTTATCGGCATTTTAAGTATTTTCTAATTTTATTTTCTCTTTCTTAATATGCTCTTTTTTTTTTTTATTATTAATTAAGTTTGTGTTTATGAAATGTTTATTATTTTGTTGTATTTGAAAAGTATCTCGGTGTCTGTTTACTTGGATCTTTTTATTTCAAATTCACAAAAATCTAAAAAAAAAAGTAGGTGGACTTTTTAAAAACGTAAGTCTGCTCTGATTGGTCGCCTGTTCGTCTCTCTGTCCAATCACGCGCTGAGTTTGAGTTTGAATTTTTTTTTCCCTAAAATCAGTTTGTGTTTGTTTCTTGCAGAGTCCAGATGAATCCCATGACGCAGCTCTACTACAAAAAGGTAAAAAAAAAAAACAAAAACAAACTTCTCATTTGATCTCAGACTTTATACACGTGTTGAATTTAATATTTATGAATCTTTGTTTGGATAAATCGTTCGTGCTCAGATATTTGACACAGAGTTTGATTGATCCAAAGTTTCAAAATGACCTTTTCCTGACGTTTATTAAAGAGCGAAGTCGTGCAGGATCGAACGTTCTGGACGTTTTCTCTCGTGTTCAAACTCTGTTCTTCATCACCAGTGTTGGGGAGTTTACTTTAAAATGTAATCCCCTACAGATTACAGATTACAGATTACACACACCAAAATGTAGTTTGTAACAGAATCCATTAAATTACTTAAAGTGAGTAATGTAATCTGATTACTTTGGATTACTTGATTTGCTGTAGAGAAACAAAGACGAGGAAATTGTAACATAAGAAGTTTTGTCTGATAAAAGAAAAAAAAAAAAAAAAAACAGACTTTACTGAACCAAATTAAAAATATTATTGATAGAAGATGAGGAGCATGGATTAGTCCTGGTTTAGACCTGGTTTAGACCTGGTTTAGACCTGGTTTAGACCTGGTTTAGACCTGGTTTAGTCCTGGTTTAGTCCTGGTTTAGTCCTGGTTTAGACCTGGTTTAGTCCTGGTTTAGTCCTGGTTTAGACCTGGTTTAGACCTGGTTTAGTCCTGGTTTAGACCTGGTTTAGTCCTGGTTTAGTCCTGGTTTAGTCCTGGTTTTAGTCCTGGTTTAGTCCTGGTTTAGACCTGGTTTAGACCTGGTTTAGTCCTGGTTTAGTAGTCCTGGTTTAGTCCTGGTTTAGACCTGGTTTAGTCCTGGTTTAGTCCTGGTTTAGACCTGGTTTAGTCCTGGTTTAGTCCTGGTTTAGACCTGGTTTAGTCCTGGTTTTAGTCCTGGTTTAGTCCTGGTTTAGACCTGGTTTAGTCCTGGTTTAGTCCTTTTAGACCTGGTTTAGTCCTGGTTTAGTCCTGGTTTAGACCTGGTTTAGACCTGGTTTAGTCCTGGTTTAGACCTGGTTTAGTCCTGGTTTAGTCCTGGTTTAGTCCTGGTTTAGACCTGGTTTAGTCCTGGTTTAGTCCTGGTTTAGACCTGGTTTAGTCCTGGTTTAGTCCTGGTTTAGACCTGGTTTAGACCTGGTTTAGTCCTGTTTAGTTTAGTCCTGGTTTAGACCTGGTTTAGACCTGTTTTAGACCTGGTTTACCTGGTTTAGTCCTGGTTTAGACCTGGTTTAGTCCTGGTTTAGACCTGGTTTAGACCTGACCTGGTTTAGACCTGGTTTAGTCCTGGTTTAGACCTGGTTTAGTCCTGGTTTAGTCCTGGTTTTCCTGGTTAGACCTGGTTTAGTCCTGGTTTAGTCCTGGTTTAGTCCTGGTTTAGACCTGGTTTAGACCTGGTTTAGTCCTGGTTTAGTCCTGGTTTAGTCCTGGTTTAGTCCTGGTTTTAGACCTGGTTTAGTCCTGGTTTAGTCCTGGTTTAGTCCTGGTTTAGACCTGGTTTAGACCTGGTTTAGTCCTGGTTTTAGACCTGGTTTAGACCTGGTTTAGTCCTGGTTTAGACCTGGTTTAGTCCTGGTTTAGTCCTGGTTTAGTCCTGGTTTAGACCTGGTTTAGACCTGGTTTAGACCTGGTTTAGCCTGGTTTAGTCCTGGTTTAGACCTGGTTTAGTCCTGGTTTAGTCCTGGTTTAGTCCTGGTTTAGACCTGGTTTAGTCCTGGTTTAGTCCTGGTTTAGACCTGGTTTAGTCCTGGTTTAGTCCTGGTTTATCCCAAAATGTGAAAACAGGAAAACACTTCTGTTTAATCCGTTTATTCCAACAAAGTAACTGTAACTAAATACAGTTACTCATCATTTGTACTCTGATTACTTAACTCTGGTACTTGTAATCTGTTACTCCTGACACTGTTCTTCTGCCTCAGGGGTTTCAGACTGGCCCGTGCACGTCTGAGTAATCTAGTGATCTGTGGTCTCTGAGTAACAGTGAAACACTGTGTGGTTTGTGTGTTTGTTTGTGTTTCCAGGCGACGTTCTCGCCGTACAGAGACAGGATTCCTCTGCAGATCGTCAGGGCTGAAGTGGAGCTGTCTGCAGAGGAGAAGGCCTACCTCACCGCCGTCGAGAAAGGTACAGACGGAGACGGGGACGGGGGGGACGGGGGCAAACCGGGGCAGGACACGAGGAGGGGGGGGGGTAAATTCACAGATGTTTGTACAGTCGCTCAGATAAAACCCATGAAAAAGAAGAAGTTTAATTTGTCCAAACTAATCCCTGTGTCGTTTGTGTTGTTCATTCGTTTTTCAATATAAAACCAAAAATAAGAAAAACAAAAAAAAACGTCATTATTTGTCTCCAAAACCAAAATGAAAAAAAAAACAAAAAAGAAAAAAAAACAGATAATGATTGTTGTTTTTGATTTTGTGTTTAAATGAAAAATGGAAAAAATGGATAAAGGACGTTTCCCGTTTACGTGAGTTCAGTGACTGTGATGTCGGACTTTTGTGCTGAACCAGACCGGAACAAGACCGGGACTGAGACCGGGACCAGACTGGGACCAGACCGGGACCAGGCCGAGACAGAGACCAGGACTGAGACCGAGACCAGACCGAGACCAGACCGAGACCAGACGGACTGGGACCAGACTGAGACTGAAACTGAGACCGGGACTGAGACCGGGACTGAGACTGAGACCAGACTGACAGACCGGGACCGGACCGAGACTGAGACAGACTGAGACCAGACCACCAGACCGGGGACTGAACCAGGACTGAGACCGACCAGGACTGAGACTGAGACTGAGACCAGACCAGACTGAGGACCAGACCGGGACAGACCGGGACCAGGCCTGGACCGGACTGAGACTGAGATCAGAACTCAGACCAGGACCAGACCGGGACCAAACCGGAGGCTCAGAGCCCACAGCAGGGCCGGAGCTCGAAGCTCTGGTCCCGGTCCCAGTCTCGGTCTCAGTCCCGCTCTGGTCCCACTCTGGTCCCGGACTCAGTCCTGATCTCAGTCTCGGTCCTGGATCAGTCCTGGTTCAGTCCGGCATCGCAGTCACAGAAGTCACGTAAAAGGGAAACGATCGTTATCGAAAACTGAAAAAAAAAAACGAATCATTATCAGTTTTTTCATTTTGGTTTTGGAGACAAATAACGAAGAAATTTTTTTTTTTTTCATATTTTTGGTTTTATTTTGAAAAACTAATGAACGAATGACACAGATTTATACTGAAGAAGCTTGGATGAGCTGAGAAACTTCATCCATCTGTTTTCTTCTGTTTATCTGGGGTCGGGTCTTTGGGGCATCAGTCTAAACAGGGACTCCCAGACTTCCCTCACCCCAGACACTTCCTCCAGCTCCTCCAGTGGGACCTGAGGTTTCCCCAGTCCAGAGACACAGTTCCTCCAGTGTGTCCTGGCTCTTCCTCCTCCAGGCAGAGAAACATATTTAACATAAATAAACTTTAGTCCCATTGACAAACTGAATGTATTTTTTTGTTATAAATTCACAAATGTTGAACCTGAACATTTTGATCAGTGTTTAGACCCAAGACCTCGGGCACGACAACAAACATCTGCATTTATCAATCATTTTAAATAACTCTGGTTTATAAAATGTTGTGATGTCTGAATCAGAGATTCATTTATATTAAAGTGGAGCTCATGTCTCACCCCAGTACATCTACTCAAGTCTGTTTCAAACTCAGGCCCGGGGGCCAGATTTGGTCCATGATATAATTATATTTGGCCCGTGAGATCAAATCAATCAATCAGAGCTGCTGCTGCACACAGATAAAGACATGATTTATTTAAAATGTTATTATTTTATATTTTGTTTGTTCTGGATTCAATGTTTAAGCAAAACTATTATTAAACATTTATTTTAATGAGAAAAGGTTTAACATTACAGATCTTGAAAGAAGAAAAAACATGCAGATGTTGTTCAAATTTCTAAATAAATATTTAGTTTGACCCACAACTTAGACCCAGTTTTAATTTTGGCCTCTGTGAGTTTGAGTTTGACTCAACCTGTTTTGTACAGAACTACAAGTACTACAAGTACTACAAGTACTACAAGTACTACAAGTACTACAAGTACTACAAGTACTACAGTCAGGAGTGACCCAGTGTCTCCAGAGCTTCACCTGCAGAGACTCGTCCAACTGTGTCTCTCACTTTATAGAAACAACTGTGAAATTATATCAGTCGAGAAAATGTTCTGATGTGAAACTCAACAAATCTCTCTCCTCCTCTCCTCTCTCCTCTCCTCTCTCCTCTCCTCTCCTCCTCTTCCTCTCCTCCTCTTCCTCTCCTCTCTCTCCTCCTCTCCTCTCTCTCTCCTCTCCTAGGAGACTACGCGGGGGTGAAACACGCTCTCCGGGAGGCGGAGGTTTATTACAACATGGACGTGAACTGTCTGGACCCTCTGGGACGGAGCGCGCTCCTCATCGCCATCGAGAACGAGAACCTGGAGATCATGGAGCTTCTGCTGGACCACGGCATCTACACGGGCGACGCTCTGCTCTACGCCATCAGGAAGGAGGTGGTGGGCGCCGTGGAGCTGCTGCTGTCCCACCGACGGCCCAGCGGAGAGAAGCAGGTACAACCACACACTCACCTCCTGGGTCTGACACCTCTGGTTTACATCCATCCACACTTTGTTTACTGTTGTGCTGTTCCACTAAATGGACCCAGACAGACGCCACCACCACCACGACGTCGTCATGACTTCACAGCTGATTGGTCGGCGCACGTCTACAACTTCTGGGGTTTTTGTAAATCGTCGAGTGTTTTCTGATTCCAGACCTTGTCACTGGAGAGAAATGAAACTGAGCAGAGGCACTAGTTCACAGGTGTCAAACATAAGGCCCGGGGGCCAGATCCGGCCCTCCAAGACTTTTAATGTGGCCCTTGGGTGATTTTCTACTAAAATATTTTAATTATATTTTCTATTAAAATTTGGTGGTGTTTATCACAGCAGCGTCTCCAGTGTCTCTGTACGTGGCCCCTCCCACCAGAGCAGCACAAATGAAGACTTGTCTCTTTCCAAACGCTCTTAAAGGACGATCGTTTTGACTGTTGACCGTGACACCCTCATCAGAAAAATGTCCAACATGAGAAAAGTGGAGCCGAGTGCAGGATTTTACAACAAAAATGGACTTATTCCTGTTTACAGACAAGTTCATGTTCAAACTTTGTGTTGAAATTGAATTTTTCTAAAAGTTTCAGGTTGTTCATAATATTATAAACATATAATAAGAAAGAGTTCATCAATTAAAAAATATTTCTGTAATAGATTTGTGTTTCTCTGCACAAATATTTGAACTTATTATTATTTTTGGGGTTTATATGACATGAGTTTTCTGATCCGGCCCCTTTGGGATCAAAGTCGGTTGGATACGACCCCGGAACAAAATGAGTTTGACTCTCCTGCACTAGTTGGTTCCAGTTTGGACACTGTAATGATGCAGCAGAGGGAACTACACAGACCATGATCCTCTGGTGTTGCCAGCGCAGACGACATGAAGAAATAACTGTTTTTAACGACATTTAAGTCGTGATTCTTCACATTACATCTTGGGATGTCTTGATCACATTTTTTTGCCCCCGAGTCCAAGTCCTTTGATTCTGAGCATCTACTGATACCGAGTCCCGATCCGATACTTCTATAAAACATTATGAAATGAACTAAGAGCATAAGATCCAATATGTGCAGAATCAGATTGTATTGATTTCATGTGTAGGATTTGGACTAAACTTAATGTGAAAAATGTCCAAAACGTTCATTTTATTAACGTTTCTAACCATGAACCATCATTGTTGAAAATCTTGACTTTTCACAGTCTGGTTTTGTTGTAACTTAGTAAACTTAATGAACTGGACAAAACAGGAACCAGATCAGAACCAGACCAGACCTGAGCCTCGACTCTGCACAATCTACACTTTGTATATTTGATGTTATATGTTTGCATCTGCTTTATATTTAAACATTTAGGCTCGTCTATGATCCAAATAATACAAAATCTTACCAAATAAACACAAGATGACAGAAGCTCCACAGCCTCTCTCCCCCGAAACAAACAAAAAACATGTTGTGCTGTGTATATTAGGTTTATATATCTTCTTATATTATGTTATCTGATACCTGATCGGACCGGGTCTGGATCGAGTCCTCAATCAAATGATCGGATCGGGACAACCCTAATGACAAGAAGACCAAAGGCTTGTCCAGACATTTCCAAGGTTTTTAAAAGGAAAATTCTGTAAACCTCCACCAAATATCAGAATAAATATCGACCTGTGAGACGCATATCGTGAAAATATCGTATCGAGGGATTTTGATCGTTACATCCCGAACGTTAAAGCAAAACTTTAAATGAAGCGATAGTTTTTATTTTTTATTTTTGTTTTTATTTTTCCCTTGAGTTCAGGTGAGGTTTTGGAATTCCAGGTTTGAAACGACCCAGACGTTTGTAGTGAAGGTGAGTGAGCAGTGACATCACGAGGTGGAACAGAGTGTTTTGAGTCTGAGAGTAAATGTCGAACTAAACCAGGACTAAACCAGGTCTAAACTTAGGACTAAACCAGATCTAAACCAGGTCTAAACCAGGTCTAAATTTAAAACTAAACCAGGACTAAAACCAGGACTAAACCAGGACTAAACCAGGACTAAAACCAGGACTAAATGTAGGTCTAAACCAGGACGAAACCAGGACGAAACCAGGACTAAACCAGGACTAAACCAGGTCTAAACCAGGTCTAAACCAGGACTAAATTTAGGTCTAAACCAGGACTAAACCAGGACTAAACCAGGACTAAATCCAGGACTAAACCAGGTCTAAACCAGGACTAAACAGGACTAAACCAGGACTAAACCAGGACTAAATTTAGGACCAAACCAGGACTAAACCAGGTCTAAACTTAGGACGAAAACCAGGTCTAAACCAGGTCTAAACAAGGACTAGACCAGGTCTAAACCAGGACTAAACCAGGACTAAACCAGGTCTAAATTTAGAACTAAACCTGGACTAAACCAGGACTAAACCAGGACTAAACCAGGACTAAACCAGGACTAAACCAGGTCTAAACCAGGACTAAACGACCAGGACTAAAACCAGGACTAAAACCAGGACAAATAGGACTAAACAGGAAAACCAGGTCTAAACCAGGACTAAACCAGGACTAAACCAGGACTAAACCAGGTCTAAACAGGTCTAAACCAGACTAAACCAGGTAAAACTAAAACCAGGACTAAACCAGGTCTAAACAGGTCTAAACCAGGACTAAACCAGGTCTAAACCAGGACTAAACTAAACTTAGGACGAAAACCAGGTCTAAACCAGGACTAAATGTAGGACTAAACCAGGTCTAAACCAGGTCTAAACTTAGGACTAAACCAGGACTGAGTTTGTTTTGAGGACAGAGGTTTTGTCCGCCGGGTTTTTGAGCCTTTTCACACCGACGCCGCGTGAACTCAGAGCTGACGCCGCGTGAACTCAGAGCTGACGCCGCGTGAACTCAGAGCTGACGCCGTGTCAAAAACATGAAGTACTTGGTGTTTCAAAGTAAAAGTATTTGGGAAAAGTACTACTGTTCAAGTACAGAGTAAATTAAAAATCCTAAAATACACAAAATGGACTCATGAGCGATTTAAGTCACGTTCTAATGTTGTTCTCTCTCTCTTCATCTCTCTCCTTCCCTCCTTCTCTTTGTCTCTATGTCTGTATTTTCTTTCTTTCCTCTCTGTCGTTCTCTCTCTCTCTTCCTCCTCCTCTTCCCTTCTCTCTTTCTTTCTGTGTTTAAGTCTGTTTCTCTTCCTCCCCCTCTTCCTTTGCTCTCTCTCTCTCTCTCACTCTCTCTCTCTTCTCCTCCTCCCCTTTTCTCTCTCTCACTCTCTTCTCCTCCTCTTCTCTCTCTCTCTCTCTCTGTTTTAGTCTCCCTCTCTCCTCTCTTCCTCCTCCCTTCCCTCTCTCTTTCACTCTGTCTTTTAGTCTCTCCCTCCCTCTCTCTCTCTCTCTCTCTCTTTCTCTCTCCCTCTTCCCTCTCTCTCCCTCCCTGATGGACAGATCTTTTCTCTCTCCGTGCCTCTCTCTATCCTATCTCTCGTTCCCTCCGTCTCTCGTTGGTGAGATGGACAGATTTTTTTTTCTCCCTTTCTCTCTTGTTCCCTCTTTCTCTCCCTCGTTCCCTGGTGAGACAGATCTTTTCTCTCTCTCCTTCTCTCTCTTTCTTTCTCTCTCTCCATTTCTCGTTGGTGAGATGGACAGATCTTTTCTCTCTCTCTTCCTCCTCCTCCTCCCTCTCTCTCTCTCTCTCTCTGTTTGAGTCCCTCTCTCCTCCCCCTCTCCCTTCTCTCTCTTCCTCTCTCTCTCTCTTTCTCCTCCTCCTCCCCTCTCTCTCTCTCTGTTTTAGTCACTCTCCTCTCTTCCTTTCTTCCCTTCTCTCTTTTGCTCTGTGTTTAAGTCTCTCCCCTCCTCTCTCTCTCTCTCTCTCTCTCTCTCTCGTCTCTGCTGAGATGGACAGATCTTTTGTCTCTCTTTCTGTCTCTCTGTCCCTCCCTCTCTCTCTGTGTTTCTCTCTCTCTTTCCCTTTTTCTCATTTTCTCTCTCTTTATCTCCCTCCCTCTCTCTCCTCTCTCTCTCTCTCTCTCTTTCACTCTGTATTTAAGTCTCTCTCTCTGTTTTAGTCCCTCTCTCCTCCTCCTCCACCCTTCCCTCTTTCTTTCTTTTTTCTTTCTTTCTCTCTGTGTTTAGTCTCCCTTCTCTCTTTTCTTCTCTCTCTCTCTCTATCTCTATCTCTCCTCCTCCTCCTTTTCTCTCCCTCTCTCTCTTTTGCTCTGTGTTTAAGTCTCTCACTCTCCCTTTCTCTCTGTTTCTCCTCTTCCTCTCTCTCTCTCTCTCTCTCTCTCTCTCCATCTCCCTACTTTTCTCTCAGTCTTTGGTGAGATGGACAGATCTTTTCTCTCTCTCTTTCTCTCCTCCTCCTTTTCTCCTCTCTCTCTCCGTCTCCCTCTCTCTCTCCTCTCTGTTTCTCTCTCTCTCTTCCTCTCTCCTCTCTCTCTTTTCTCTCTCTCCTCTCTTTCTCTCCCTCCATCTCTGGTTGGTGAGACGGACAGATCTTTTCTCTCTCTCTCTCTCTTTCTCTCCCTCGTTCTGGTGAGACAGATCTTTTCTCTCTCTCTCTCTTCTCTCCCTCCATCTCTGGTTGGTGAGACGGACAGATCTTTTCTCTCTCTCCGTCTCTGTCTCTCCCTCGTTCCCTCGTTCCGTGGTGAGATGGACAGATCTTTTCTCTCTCTCCGTCTCTGTCTCTCCCTCGTTCCCTCGTTCCGTGGTGAGATGGACAGATCTGTGTGGGAGGAGAGGAAGATGTCGGTTTAGATTTGTAACAGAAAAACAAAACGGTGAATCTTATGCTCCAACATTTGCTCCAAACACAAAAAAAACTCACAAAAAAACTCACACGTTTACGTCCACTTCACTTTTCAAAGTCTGGAAAAAAAAAAAAAACAAATAAAACATGTTCCAGGTCAGATCTGTGGAGAGGCGACACCCCTGTACATCTGTTTAATGTCACACTGCGGAACATTAAAGACAGAACAACCACGTCTCCATAGAAACAGACAGATATTTACTTCAAACATCAACCCAGACAAAACTAAACCAGGACTAAACCAGGACTAAACGAGGACTAAACCAGGACTAAACCAGGACTAAACCAGGACTAAATCTAAACCAGGACTAAACCAGGAGGGACTAAACCAGGACTAAACCACTAAACCAAAGGACTAAACCAGGACTAAACCAGGACTAAACTACCAGGACTAAACCAGGACTAAAACCAGGACTAAACCAAACCCAGGACTAACTAAACCAGGACTAAAACCAGGTCTAAACCAGGACTAAACAAACCAGGAAACCAGGACTAAACCAGGACTAAACCAGGACTAAACTAAACCAGGACTAAAC